TGTTTCCAAACTCGTTTTTCGCGACATTTAAAATATCGACATAACATTTATGCGCTAAAGTTAAACGGAAAAGGATTGTGTCGACATTTGCAAAAAAAAATCGATAATTGGCGTTTCCATCAGCTATATCGGTAAACATTTTGATGCGCGAAACCTTTTTTCGCAAAAAAACCCTTGGATGGAAACCTGGCTAGTGAATCCGAATTCAACCGTAACTCACTATCGCTATGGGGTGAAGGTCGAGCAATAAAAGTATCGCTAAGGTCAAGCTGCTCCTCAGTCTCATTTTCTAGTTCATTTCTCGCTATGGCCCGAGTAACGACACTAGAGGAAAAAACTTCAGGGAAGCTAATGGACAAATCATCAGTACACGTTTTTGGAAAGGCAGGAGACACTATGTGGCAAGGTAAAACTTTTCCCCCACACAAATCATTACCAAGTGTAGTGAAGTGCCGCTGTTTGTTGATGTCCTCCCTATAGATTGAGACTCCGCCCTAGATGCACGCAGGTAATCAGCACTCAGTTCATTGATAGATTAAGGTAATTCATTCCAAGGAGTATATTAAAGTGGTGTTGTCACCGGAGATTGCGTGAATGTGCGACCGCGTTCTAGCACGTCATTATTTTTGCGACTGTCTGGTGCTCTGGCTGAGGTGAGTGTGACGGCTGTTTTTTTTAGGCTCGAGCCTAACGAACATTAGATTGAGTGTTACTCTTGTCAGGTTCTGGGCTGTTTGCAGAAAAGCACTCGTTGTGCTGAGGGTTGCATGCCTGGCAACACGCGCTGGTTGCCGTAGACGATCGTTTCGGGTATGAATTGCATTCAGCATCGGGGGTGTATTGCTGCTTGACTTCCTGGTAGGTCTCTCTCTGGCCCTTTCGGCTGTATAATGAGCGTATAGTTGTTACCCAGCCAGCAATGACATGTGGGGCCCAGATGGGTTAAGTCGGGGTTCCATGGTTACTGTGTGGGCATGGGCTTTGGCTGGGTGAAATCAGCGGGTCCCATGTAGGTTTTGTCCCACATAGGAACCCCATATGAGCTAATTATATGGGCCCCATAAGGGACAGACATGAGCCAAGTGGGCATGGGTTTGAACTGAGAACACATATATGGGTCCTGCATGGTTTATTTATGGGCCAAGTGGGAATGGGTTTGAACTGGGAACACATATATGGGTCCTGCATATAATTTTTATTGGCCAAGTGGGCATGGGTTTGAACTGGGAACACATATATGGGTCCTCCTGCATATAATTTTTATGGGCTAAGTGGGCATGGGTTTGAACTGGGAACATATATATGGGTCCTGCATGGTACATTTATGGGCCAAGTGGGCATGGGTTTGAACTGGGAACACATATATGGGTCCTGCGTGGTACATTTATGGGCCAAGTGGGCATGGGTTTGAACTGGGAACACATATATGGGTCCTGCATATAATTTTTATGGGCTAAGTGGGCATGGGTTTGAACTGGGAACACATATATGGGTCCTGCATGGTACATTTATGGGCCAAGTGGGCATGGGTTTGAACTGGGAACACATATATGGGTCCTGCATATAATTTTTATTGGCCAAGTGGGCATGGGTTTGAATCGGGAACACATATATGGGTCCTGCATGGTACATTTATGGGCCAAGTGGGCATGGGCTTGAACTGGGAACACATATATGGGTCCTGCATATAATTTTTATGGGCCAAGTGGGCATGGGTTTGAACTGGAAACACATATATGGGTCCTGCATGGTACATTTATGGGCCAAGTAGGCATGGGCTTGAACTGGGAACACATATATGGGTCCTGCATGGTACATTTATGGTCCAAGTGGGCATGGGTTTGAACTGGGAACACATATTTGGGTCCTGCATATAATTTTTATGGGCCAGGTGTCCATGGGTTTGAGCTGGGAACATATTTGGGTCCTGCATGGTAAATTTATGGGCCAAGTTGCCATGGGTTTGAACTGGGAACACATATATGGGTCCTGCATGGTACATTTATGGTCCAAGTGGGCATGGGTTTGAACTGGGAACACATATTTGGGTCCTGCATATAATTTTTTATGGGCCAAGTGGGCATGGGTTTTAACTGGGAACACATATATGGGTCCTGCATGGTACATTTATGGGCCAAGTGGGCATGGTTTTGATCTGGGAACACATATGGGTCCTGCATGGTACATTCATGGGCCAAGAGGGCATGGTTTTGATCTGGGAACACATATATTGGTGTGACAGAGGCGCAAAGTAACTATTTAGGCCTATTGATAACTTACTGTACAAATTTTAGTAACTCTACATGTAGGCTAATCAAGCATGTTGAGAGTGTGTAATTGTAATAAGTCACAGTAGTCACCAAAGAACAAACATTCCAAATATAGATTGTATATATATATATATATAGAAAATTAGGGAAAAAACACATTTGTATCTTATAAATCATTAATGATTTGATAGATTGTTGTGGTTTTAACTTTTAAGGAAAACACATCCAGCCCTAATCTGGAGAAGTGACGGTGACATCAGTGTTTAAAAGTAACTTGTTCTAGCTCATTAGTTTTTTTTTGTTTTTTTTACAAATTGTAATTTTACTTGAGCGGTTCTCTAACACCAGTACTTTTACTTGTAATAGAGTAATAGCAATACAGCAGTACTTGCACTTGAGTACAGATTTTCAGTACTTTTCCCACCTGCCTGTTATGCACACAATACATAATTAGGCTGATTCATATGAAGCCAGCGAAGCAGTTAACGTTTGTTAATTCTCTAACATATTTACGAATTTAACTGTATTTAATTGTTATTCAGTCAGGCAGTTCTTAGGACATCTATAAGCGGGCTGTAAGCAAAGGCCTTGATTCGCGCTAAAACGTTAACGGGCCATTCGGAAAGCAACGCTGCTAGCTGTCACTTCGAGGAGAAGAACTTCACATCAGACATTCACAAATAGAGGTAAGTTTAAATATTATGTTGCCAGAAAAATAACACTGCAGGTGTACAGTAGTCTGTAATTTTTGTTTTGTGTTGTAACTGTTTAATCTGATGTAGAATCTAACCAAAAGGGAAAAACAGCTTGGAGAGGTTGGACAATAATTCATAAGTTATCACGAATCACGATATACTTTTAATAACGGTGAAATGAGTTTTAAACACATTTCCGATATTTCGATGAGTAGCAGCGTTTCACAGACTGGCGTTCATTCATCTCGAGCAGAAAGAGCTGCAACACATTGAATACGTTTAAATGCAGCCAATAACCCGTTCAAAACAGGAATATTAGCAATAACCCGGTCGTGCACGGCCATGGCTACGTGTTTGATGACATACACCACAGACAGGAGCCCCGCAGCAGTTGTCTGTGCTCAGCGTGGACATGTATATTGAGAACAGGTTGCACTCCAGGGCTTGAGTCTGCTGCGCCATGAACGGCAGTCTGTGAAATCAAATGCTGTAATCATACTGTAATGTTTATGCTGAGCACAGCTAAATGAAGTCTCCTCCCTGACCTGCTCTTAGTTGTAGTAATAAAGATTTCTTTTTTTGGTGGTCCAGCGTTAGTGGCATGGGACTACGTCCCCGGGTTGCTATACAGAGCGCAATGCTTCAGAAAATCCGATCTGCCTGTTTACATGACAGTCGCATTGGCACATATCGGATCTGATTTATTTCCACATATGAACGAGGCCTGAAACCGATCTCGAAATATCCGAATGCATGCGTTTTTTCCTGTTTACACTGTCATAGAACACATCCGATTTGTGTCGCATATGAGCAAAAAATCTGAATTAAATCGGTCACATATCACTGACAGTGTAAACGGGGCCTATATGTTAACCTTTCCTGACACATTACTGTGATAAAATCATTTACACAGTAAATGAGTTAAAATTAACACAAAACTAGTGGTCCTGGAGCTCACCCATGAATGTGTCCAAATTTAACACAGGTTGTGACACATTCTTTTTAAGAGTAGGAAAAAAAAATACTATGTAAGTCACTGCTGCGTCAGATTACCAGCATTCTTCAAAATATCGTATTTTGTGTACAATAGAAGAAAGACATTTTTAAGGCATCATATAGGTTTGTAACAACATGAGGTTGAGTAAATTATGAAAAACTTTTAATTTTTCTTTCTTTTTTTTTTTTGGTAGGGAGAAGGCACCTTAAAGTTGTTTTTTGTTTTTTGTTTTTTTTTTGGAGAATTTTCAAAAATAAATGTGGCTGGTCCATTAAATACTTATACATATCACACACAACTTGTTTTTAGTCAAGCTGTTTGTAATGCATTAATAAATTGAAGATCACTCTCTGCACAACGGTATGTATATTTAAAGAGGTGATTCAGATGAAATCGTTTAAGAAAAGTGAGTTTGTTCTGTGTCTGTGGCTATTCAGCTGTGAAATACTTGTTTTACAGCTGCTATCTAGTTAAAATATAAAATAAAGTTTAAGATAATTTATGCTCTTACATTATATGGTTAAATGTTATATTTTGACAGACAATTTAGTCCAAAAAAAAAATTATGTAATGAGTAATGAAAAAATACTTATGTTAAGCAGATGTTGTGTAGTTTAATCCATTGAGGTTATGGAAACAACTAACTGATTCAATTAGGGACATTTTATTTATTTAGTGGAAGACATCCAAGTCTGACAATTAGCTTATACGTGGAGTTTTTTTAGGTAAATCTTCATATCTCTTAAATAAATCTAAAATTCTTCAATCATCTAACTTGAAAATTAGGTCAAAAATTATATAAAAACCAACAACATCAGTAACACCCAACAGAAGGAGTCCAGAAGGTAATAACTTATTTGAAGTTCCAATCTTTGTCCCAAATCAAACATATTATTAGAATGTTTGTATAATCTCAAACAAGATATCAGATTTGATCTTCATCTATGAAGGCGTTTAATAGAGATTGGTTTCCGCCAGTAGAGGCGCTCGAGCAACCGAAGCAACGACACACACACACACACACACACGAGTGTGTGTGGAGAAGAAGAAGAAGAGAAGTGAGCGAGGGAAGTAAACATAAACGTGAGAGAAGTGAAACGCGGCCGTTCATTCTGCTCTAAACCCGCTGTGGTGAGTATAATCATTTGATCATTGATTAGGAGAAATCTGAATCCAAACGACTAAACGAGTCAGTTCATTTAGTGAATCACTCGGAATGAATCGAACTGAACCGACTGGAGATTAACCCGTGAAACGTAAACTCTTGACTCACTGTTTTTACAGTTGATGAATGTTATAAATGTAGCTTTCACTTTACGTATAGAAACCTTGTAAACAATTTTTAATACATGTAACTTAAATCATATCTAATGCAATGTAAAAATCAGCTAACGTTAACAGAAGGAGGTGTTCTTGTTCTAACAATGTTCAGCTCACGAGTTGAGTTATTGATCCGGGAAGTTAAAAACTGTAAATATGTTTCCTTTACCGAACTTCTAAACTGTTGTTTGAACAAAACACTTAAAGCTGGATAACTGAGAGAGATTGCAAGTGTGATGAGCATCTTTTAAATCACTAACAGCGACCACCACAGTTCACTCCTTCGGTCAGTGAAGCTCCCACAGCCGTTCACGAGAGTTTAAATGCTGGGAAATATTCCCATCTTCCCACAAGAGGAACTACTTCAGGAGAACTAGTGTAAAGATGGAGATCAATGAAGATCCCTGCAGAGTAAAAGATGAAGAAACAGAGGAACAAATAGGTTTGTGTTTTCCTTTATTCTCTCTTTAATGACTGATGAGGAACATGATTAACATAAAAAAAGAACAATCTAAAACTAGATACCAGGGCTGCCCCCAACTAAAGATTTTTCTAATCGACTAGTCACATGTTTATTTTTATTTAATTACTTCAAATAGCAGGGTGAAATCTTGGTGGAGAGTGTGACTTTATTTTTACTTAGCCTAGGCCTATGTGGTCCTCAAGATAAGGGAATTTTTTTCAGAAGTACAATGAAAGTATCTAAAGTAATTTATCAAATGCACGTAAAGCATGTCGCAAAGCACTGACAAAAGTAACTATTAGGCTATCAATGTGTCAGAAAACATAGAAAGGAGATGTTTTAATGTTTTAATAAACTAGTGTTTTCTGAGTTCAGATGCAAAGTTTAAGTTGACTCGTCCTCTCTGCAGTAGTCTGTAGTGACCAATTTGGGCGATATGTTGAATAAATATATATGGAGATGAACGCACAGAGATGGAACGTGGCTGTTTGTGATCTTATGTATGTGTTTATTCCATTAATTTGTCTATCATATCTTAAAATGCTCAAATAATCAATGTATACAGGACATATCAAATAGTAGAACTTTTGTATGACACAGTGCCAACTCTCAGGCATTCAGTGTGAGACACACACAATTCACACATTTCACACACTCTCACGCCACACATCCATTTTCTCATGCAGAGAAAAATCACGGGAGCAAAGAAGCCACTGACAGACAAGACAGAGCCAAGTTACTTTTGATATGAAACAAATTCTCAGATCTCAGATTCTGTCAATTTTATTATGAAATTCATACAAATGTGACGTGACAGATCGCTGTAGTGCCTCGGTTCAAGTGGCAGGTGAATTGATCATCTCTTTCTTGTAATTAGTCAATAAACACACTGAACAATAGATATGTTGAAAGATTTACTTACCTAAATGTATATCCCTCATACATAATATCAATCAATCTGTGTTTTTTAACGATTGGAAAGAGGTCAATAAAACAGCTGGAGAATAATGTCACGTTGTGTCAATCACGTTTACACACTGCCTCCAAATCTTTCGCCCGTCATCAAATAAAAAAAAAAATCGCCTCGGATTCGATTTTCTCCATTTTTCACATCAGTAGCAAGCATTTTGAGACGTGTTTTGACAATTCAGAACCACAGAGAGATCAATACAAAAAAGTCCATTTCAAAATTTCGGATTCGGTGTGAAGGACATTTAATCTCTGCAGCTGAAAACACAGAAAACATTACCAGTAAATTAAAATGTTTAGATGGTCTCATTCTGTTTTTTTTTTTTTTTTTTTTTTTTCATGACAAAATCATTACGTATACCGGTGTGCTGTTGGAAGCTTTGTTTGAATTTGTGCGCTGATTAGGCTATATGTATTTTATATAGGCAAATTAAAGGCACATTATTATGATTTATGACTTAATATAAATGTGTGATTAGTCATGGCTTAAATGAACTACTAGTCAACTAGAAAAATCTTTAGTCAAGGGCAACCCTACTCAAGTAGTAAACTAGATTTGTGCTAAATTAAGACTTAAAGGGTTAGTTTACCCAAAAATGAAAATTAAGTCATTAGTTACTCACCCCCATGCTGTACCAACACCGTAAGACCTTCGTTCGTCTTCGGAACACAAATTAAGATATTTTTGATTAAATTTGAGAGCTGTATAACTACCACATTGGCTGCCTAAGGGACTGCCTCTTGACGGCCCAGAAAGTCAATGAAGAAAATGTTTAAATATCCCAAGTGACTACCGTGGCTCAACTATATGTTTATCAAGCGACGAAAATACTTTTTGTGCGAAAAAACAAACAAAAATAACGAGTTTATTCGACTATTTCTTTTCGTCCTTGTAGGCCAGAAACGAGATTTCCTTAGATTTCCACGACGCATGCCCGATAATTGCGATCTGAAGTAGTGTAAAGCAGATCGCAATTCTCGCGCATGCGTCGTGGAAATCTAAGGAAGTCTCGTTCTGGCCTACAAGGAAGAAAAGAAATAGTCGAATAAACTCGTTATTTTTGTTTGTTTTTTCGCACAAAAAGTATTTTCGTCGCTTGATAAACATATAGTTGAGCCACTGTAGTCACTTGGGATATTTAAACATTTTCTTCATTGACTTTCTGGGCCGTCAAGAGGCAGTCCCTTAGGAGCCAATGTGGTAGTTATACAGCTCTCAAATTTAATCAAAAATATCTTCATTTGTGTTCCGAAGACGAACGAAGGTCTTACGGGGTTGGTACAGCATGGGGGTGAGTAATTAATGACTTAATTTTCATTTTTGGGTGAACTAACCCTTTAACTTTATTTCTTTGTTTCTCATTTGTTCTTTTTTTAATTTAATTTAATATGTTGATTTTAGACCTGATGAAAGTGAATGAAGACAAACAGCACCATTACACAAATGAAGATGGAAAACTGACATACAAAAAAGAAGCTAAACAACATCCGTTCAAAAATGAAGATGGAAATTCAGTCATTTCAAAGACTGAAGAGAATTTCACACGGCAAAAAGAAGGAAAATCTGGTGTCAAAGAATTTTTCACCTGCTCAGGGTGTGGATTGTTTTACGTGCATGAATCAGACCTTAAGAAACACATGAGAATTCACACTGCTAAAAAGCCGATCACTTGCATTTACTGTGGAAAGAGATTTACATATAAATCAGAGCTTAAGAAACATAAGAGAGTTCACACAGGAAAAAAAACAGAAATCTGTTCTGAGTGTGGAAAGAGTTTCATACATAAAGGAGCCCTAAATGTGCACATGAGACATCACACTGGAGAAAGACCGTTCACATGCACTCAGTGTGGAAAGAGTTACAGATCCAAAAGCGTTCTCACCACTCATCTGCGCCGTCACTCTGATGTGAGGTCATTCAGCTGTGACCAGTGTGATAAAACATTTGTTTTGGAATCAGGCTTAAAAGCGCACCTTAAAACTCATACTGGTGTAAAGCCTCACTTTTGTTCTTTATGTGGAAAGTGTTTTAAACGACTGGCCTATTTAAAAGTGCATGAGCGTATTCATACTGGTGTGAGACCTCATGTGTGCTCTGACTGTGGGAAGACCTTCATATCATTCGATTCCTTAAAAGTACACCTGAGAGTTCATACTGGAGAGAAACCGTACAAGTGCTCGCACTGTGGAAAGAGCTTCGCTCGGTCACGAGGCTTGAAAATTCATGAGAGAGTTCATACTGGAGAGAAACCGTACAAGTGCTCGCACTGTGGAAAGAGCTTCGCTTGGTCACGAGGCTTGAAAATTCATGAGAGAGTTCATACTGGAGAGAAACCGTACAAGTGCTTGCACTGTCGAAAGAGCTTCGCTCAGTCACGAGGCTTGAAAATTCATGAGAGAGTTCATGCTGGAGAGAAACCGTACAAGTGCTCGCACTGTGGAAAGAGCTTCGCTCGGTCACGAGGCTTGAAAATTCATGAGAGAGTTCATACTGGAGAGAAACCGTACAAGTGCTCTTCATTGAGTGCATTTATTAAAACGTGATTAATGAACGTATGCATGGAAAACAGCATGAAGAAATTTTATTCTAGTGTTTGTTATATACCACTTGTTTGCAGTACATACTACGATAGACATAATTAAACACTAAACAGCTTTCACTTGTAAAAGAGAAGGGCAATTTAGAAATATATCTTCATTGATCTTCGGGACAGCACTTTTGCAAGGTTCTCAATTTTGTGTTGGTTCCATGTCATCGCCTGGATAGTGATGTCTGTTCTAGCTAAACAGTACATGAAAAAAAAATCATTTAATAAAAAATCTCCTTTGGTCATGTATTTACTGCATATAGCAGATGTTGACAAGAAGCTGTTTACCTGTTCGACCTCTTCGCTTGCGCCATCTTGGTTTCAACCTCCCCACTTAATCTTGTGCACACATTGCATATTTATATGGATAACATAGTTAACAGGGTTAAAATAATCTCGACAATGTGTTTTAGATTATACGCAGGAATTACTGAAAATAAATACACAAGTCACAAATTGGCATCTTTATTTTCTGGCAAACAGTTTACCTCACATTTCCAAGAGTAAATGTCTAAATAAATGTGTAAAGATATGTCAGTCTGTTAGCATTTCAAATTACTACAAGTGAGTTTTAGCTTTATTACAGTTTCAAGATTGCAAGATTTTACAATTGTTCTTCATTTTGCTATTGTAGTTCAGTGAAAAACGGCATTGCTATTTTTTGTTTAGGGTATACAATTTCAAAGATCATTAGGCAAAACGGCAATAGGCCTACTACTTACATGCTTTGTCTTATCATTAATGTAGTCCACAAACTTTTAAACATCTTCATCCTCACAGACTAGACACCCCTAAACAAGCCATGATCTTCATCCCTTGAAAATAATTAGAATGGCTTCATTTAAATATCTAATGGAAAAACTAACTGGGATAATTTATTATTTTGAAAATGCTTTTTGAAAGACAGATATATAATTTCCTGTACCCTTTTTTAAAGCGATTCATTCTCCTGTTACCATCTACTGCCACATAAATGGAAAACAGGCCGGACAGTCAAACCCTTTCAGTCCACAGAGCTGATCAACTGGCAGTATCTCCATTCGAAAAAACTTCTTTGAAAAGCATCTGAATTTTCCAATTTCCAAAAACCATATAAGAAATAACTCACTTCCAAAAAAGAGAAAGAAATAATTTAGTAATGAAATTAAATAATACTTTGCCAAAGAACTCTGTCGTTCTAGTAAACTGGTGAAGGCATGTATAGAGTTGACATTCCAGGAGCAGTCAGTTTCATGTGGACATAAGACACTGTTAGATTTTGGTGATGCCGACCAGTGGTTTCAGTGGCTCGCCAATGTATTGGATTTCTCCAATACATAAAATAAGTAAGCTTGACCAGTTCTTGTGGGGAGAAGAATTTATTGAAGGTTTGTAGTGTAGAAGTTCTTCAGCAGCGATGTTATCATGTCACCCTTCAACAATCTTAACCCAATGTTCAGTCTGTGAGACAGAACTTTATAAAGAAGATTATGGGCTACAAACAATAGAAACCTGTTAGGACCTCCCACAGGAGATGCTAATCCACTCTGAGCAATGCTGAGTCTTTGTCATTCACACCAATCAGTTTCTGTGGGCCATACATCTGAATGGGCCATTCATCTGTATGGTCCATTTGACACACACCTTTGCAGACACCGACAGAGTGGATTAATTATGATACACGTCACAATGTAAATGAATCCGATAACTGAAAATACAAAATCTATCAATCCCCCCTTTGATCATATTTGATCACAAAACAAACTTCATTATATACAGCATGCTGCATACAGGCTCCACTTAAAATGACAGAATAAGAGTTCATAGTGAAACTTTGCATCCTCTTGAATTCTTGAGTCCTCTGGTGGCTTTTATTTTGGAGTTGTGTTCTGTTGGAAGTGGCGGATAGGGTTGTGTTCTGTGAATGTTCAGAAGTTTTTATCTAGGTGACCAGTGCAGTCTAAACGTCGGATGCAATTGCTCATCCTCTGGAATGCTGGAACACCTGCAATCACACAAAAGAGAAACGGGGAACGTATCTTTGCCAAGGAAAATATTTTAAAGACATAATTCATAATTGCCTGACAAACTGTCCCTATTTAATATTGGCAGGCACTACTGTGTTTATCAGTGGCTGTATGTTTATGTCTTCGTCCTCAGGCGACAAGCTAGGGCCTAAAAACCCTAGTCCCGCCATATCTGGACTCTGATAAACACTACTGCCGTCTATCCCTCATCTCTAGGCAGATGTTTCAAATCCCATTGGCTCACATCAGTCCACTCATCTTTTCTCTGCACCTTAACTGCTTCATCAGTTACTATGAGATCCTGTAGGCTATCCCTCTTGGATTCTAATGATGAAAATGGATTCTTGGCATTGTGTTCTACCAGGCTGGGTCTTTCATCAGTTTGGGCAAGGCTGTCAGATGTTAGATTTTCTTTGGACAGGGGCCGACCAATGACATGTTCAAAAGGGCATAGTCCAATTTCCTTGTGGTCATCCTTACTGCATTGCTTGTCATTATGCAGTTTTGTTTTAGCTTCCATCACTGATGGCATTTGTTTTCTGGGTGCTTCATCTGGAATAAGTTTACATGGCAAAACTTGTTGAAGTTGTCTTAATGCCGCTGTATGTGCACCTCTCTCCTTTACGGCTTGTATAGCAGCACCTTCTACTTGGACATCAACTTTGGCTTCAGTTGTTGAGACTTCTGTGTATGCTTTTACCTTTGGGGTGGTGTTTTCATTTGTCATTTTTGCATAAACATGGAGTCCATCAGTTGTCGGATGAGATGCAGGGGTGATAGTAGAAAAAAATCCTGAGCCTGAACTTTTTTCCCTGGGAGGTAAGCGGCCCCTAAGCCAAGAGATATATGCCCTGATCAACATTTGTCAAGCGGGATCCAGAAGTGTGCTCCCCTGGGAGAACATTTTGATAAATACAGGTAGTCCCTTAAATGATTCTGGTGACTTTTGTAGATATAAATGGACATCATTCAGACATGAAATGAACAAACCCAATACAAAGCCTATATTACAGTAGCATATTTGTGTAGAGCACCAGAGCTCCTGGGACCCTGGGTCTGTTTATTAATCCATCCCTGCTTTTAACTAGTCATTTACCTGCGTACTTATTGCTTGTATAGTGTACTAAGACTATACAACATCCATAACAAGAAAGGTCAGAGCGTGGCAATTATAATTCTCCAAAGTAAACTAGGAATTCATATAGCCTAACCATAGAAAATAAGGACGCATGAACAAGGAGATATTCATTTTAATGCAAAATATGCACCATTTATTTTAAATATATTTTTTAAACAGTTACAGTGCAACAAAACCCTATGTAATGTAACACTCAATTTGAAGAGCTCTTTTCCAAAACGCGATAAACGCCATTTAAAAAAAAAAAACGAGTTTGTCGTGTCATTCTGCTGTGCAGAACCCTTTCGCTGCTCCATCAACGTTTCATGCCAAATCGCTATATTTCATTGTTTAAAATGTACTGCAAGATACAGTTTCTTTCCAAACCACGATAAGCGCCAGCCCTGTTTTTAGCCTAAACACGATAAATCCTCAAATTCAATGAGCGCTCTACACAATCCAGCACGGCGGCACTCTGAACAGAGGTTTATTATGTTCATTTATTCCTCAAAATGAGTCCTAGTTTTCTAGTCGACTAGTAGTAGATCATTTAAGCCATTTGTATTATCAGTAATCACATTTATTGATTTAAATAAATGGGAGAGAAACATGAGCGTTTTTAATTGCCTATTCCGCATTTCAACGTATGCATAAAGCTTGCCACAAAGAACCGGCAAAAGTAATGATTATGCATGAAACATTTGAATTGTTTATTAATAAACTAGTGTTTTCTGTCAGTGTCAGCAACAAAGATAAAGTTGATGATGCTTACTCGCCATCTTCGCAGTGAACGCGCATAGGCCTATAGAAACGCATACTTCGAATTAGCCTATATACGCAGAGAGTTGCCAATTTATTTTAGTTTTTAATTGTTTTGTTTAAAAGTAGATATTTAAAGCTTTCTGTAGCCTTGTTCTCAGGCCTGTGTGAGGCAAGCATCGGGGTGTTTCGGTTCATATTATGAGACGCGCTCCGGTTCACCTGCGCGCCTCTGTGTCCTGATTATATTGTCTGATATTTACTTCTAATGTATTAATCCAGTCAATTTGTCGATGAAACATTTATTAAAATGAAGATACAATTTATATGAAACGAAATTTACAAGCTTTCTACAAAACAAAACTTATAAGTGGTCAAAATCATGTCTGACGCACTCCAAATATTTTCCGATATTGGGCAGCTTTTGAATTTTGATCCTATCTTACTAATCTCATGCGGTTCCCTTTTCATAGCCTACTCAACATATATGAAATAATAAAAATAAGTAATGTAATATTATTAAAAACAAATGTGAAACGTATATTTTATGTTTATTTTTTATTTTTATTTTTTTACTTATATTTAAGCGTCATGCTGCTCCTCTTTGCTCACATGTTATGTAGCCTGTGTGTTTGTGTGTGCATGTGCTGGAGGGGTGCCCATCCCTTTTTTGAATATCGTTATCATATATTGATCATTTTTAATAATTCGTTTTTTTCATGCATATGTTGAAATTGTTACTATTTGTTTGAGGTTGCTGCCTCGAAACAGACAGATGCGTTAGGGCGAGTTTATCCTCCGCTAATTTCTGACACAGAGTGACGAGTGGATGAGCGATTGTAAATGACAGATCGAACTCGGCAATGAAGGAGCACAAGCGAATTTTTAAATCAGCCACACGATCGGTCATTGAGGGTCGGATATCTGCTGTGGCTGTTGCCCCCGGCCCCGGCAAACGTGAGGTGTGTTGAATCGCTCGGACAGCTGCTTGATGACTAGGGTCTAACTCGTGCCGTGGCAGCACTTTTTTCCCGCTAGTTCCATATAATATTTTCCTTGCACACAAAGTGCAGAAACATGCTCCTGGTTGCCGGAGTTTTTGACACCAGCTTCCAAAGGGCTTTTCGTCTCTACCCACCTCTTCTATCCAAGACCAGCGCCATTTATTCTTTATGCCTTTATCGACAAGTTTGGTGTCTTCCCCCGGCTTCATAAACTTGCGCTCCATGACTTCGGCTATATTTCGCGCTGCCAGTGTGGAAAACGCACAAAAAACTGATCGCACGTGAAGTGACTACTGATTCAATTTGATTGGCCAAAACCCAAGACCAGCCCCTACCCTATTGCCGATT